AGGAAGGCCAGGTGGTTCTGATTAGATCTGGAAGCACACTACTCATCCTGCAGAGAACATCATCAACTCCAAAGGTCATAGATCCTATCCCTGTTGGCGAGATCCAAGCCTCCTTCCTGATGGAATGCAACTTCTCGGATCAGAGATGAAACCGTTGATTTCTTCTTCCCACCTACCCTTCCCACAAAAAGTCCCCGAGAAAAAAAGCTGGCTTCAAGTGCAGACTCCAGAGGTTTGTTTGGACATCTCCCACCCTGTGTAAATCAACATTTTAATGAGTTAAGTGCACATGAATCAGAAACACAAGGGTCACATTTCCTCTGAAATACTTGGGGGTGGGGAGCAAAATGCACTCCAAACTTGGCCTAATCCAAAATCAGGCGGAGGGCCAGGCCCTTGTCAAGTCTCCCTTGTCCTGATGCTTGGATCAACATCCAGAATGGCTCTCTGTGGCCTTCAGCCAGGCCGGGCCAGGGGTAGCCAGGGTGGGGTGGGTGGCCCTGAATTCCTGTGGCCAGCAGAGACCTGTGACGGCTGCACCTGGCTGGGATCGTGGATACCAAGGACACCGGTGGTCAGGCAGAGTGGGAGGCAGAAGAGAATGGCAACAAGAAAAGAGTCTGAAGAGGAAACAAGCAATTACATGAGGAGAAACACCATGAAAGCCACGCACAATCATTTGAACACATGGCAGTGATTGTTAAAACAATGGCCACGAACTAAAAGCTGGAGCAGCTTGCGTAGTGAGAAAAAATAGACTTCCTGGGGTGGAGCCATGGCCTGTCCCTAGCTTGTGTGTGACTCGTCTGTGTGTCTGTGTGTGTGTGTGTGTGTGTACCCATACACATGCATGCACCTTTTAAAACACATGAGTTTTGATTTAGAAGCTGGATTTCTTTCCCTTGCAGTTGGATCCACTTCTGCACAAACACATTTCCATCCCCCAGGCGGTGAGGAAATAGTGCACCAGACAAGAAGAGAGGTTTTCTCTGGACCTGCTGCAGCTGCAGTCTGAGGATTGCTGGAAAATGTATAGTCCGGAAGGGAAGACCACCCCCCAGTATGAAGTTTAGTCTCCAGCTCAGAGCAAAAATTAGGGCCACAGTCAGGAGTCTAGGAAGGACAGACTGCCAGAAGCCAAACTGAGCACAACACACCAGCTGTCCCTTCTCTTCCCCAAGATTCATGGCGAAGGCAAGCTAGGTACTAGGGTGTGAAGGATGAGTCCAGTGGAAAGAAATGTGAGTCTAAGGATCCTGCCAGACATCAAAGCTGTCCCTGCTGTGGGATGCTATCATATGGCTCCAGCTCCGTATCATTAACAGCTGTCAGTCAGGTCTATCACTGCTGGAAGGACACATCCAAACATCAAAGACCACGTGTGGGATGACAGGATGTGGGGGATTTGCACATGGCAATGGCGGGTGAGTGGGGAGCCATGCCATTACAGGCTGGTGGCTATGTTTTTCTCTATAGCCACGTGTGGGACGACAGGATGTTGGGGATTCGGATCCCACTGGTATCATGCTGGCCTTGTGAGGGAGTGCTGGCCCTAGAAAAGTTCAGTTAATCCTCTGGCACCCACTCTCCTTGTCCCTGGGCCATGCTGTGAAATAGCCACTTGGTGGGGGGTCTTGGCATGCAGCCCTCCCATTCTGTTAAAAGATGGGCTCAGTCATCGAGGCAGAACGGCATCACTCAGACCTGCATGAAGTCTCAGGAGAACTAGGCAGCAAGTGGAAATGGGGCTCTCAGGCGTGCTCTTCCGATCCCCATCCACGCCCTGGGATAAACACTGATGGAGGTTCTTATGTAAGTCACTAAAAACCCCAGCAGGGATGAGATGATGGGTGAAGTGTTTCAGGAGGATCTCCTGCTTTGCTTCTAATTTTCTCTCTTGGAAGGAAATCTAGCGGTGCTTCTGGGTTGTGACAGTTTCTTAACCTTGAAGTCCTAGTCCCAGGGTTTTCAGAGAAACCCTGCCCTGGACCCCACTGGACATCTGATGGAAAGGTTTCCTAAAGGCCCAGACCCCACCTGGCCCCCAGTGGACAGGCTTCCTGAAGGCAGAGGACACTAAGTCCTGGACTTGGGGAGGGGCCAGTAAGAACTTACATGGAACTTATGGCGGCTCACAATGGAGCTCAGCTGGAACCCCCAAGTCAGGTCCATGAGGATTCTGAATTCCACACTGCAGCACCATCCACCAGTCCTGGTGGGTATCAGGTGATAGGAAGGTCATCCTAATTACAGCCAGGTGCAGGCGTTCAGCTGTGAAAAACGCTAGCTCTTCCTCTTCCTCCCACTGCCTCTTTCTCTCCTTAAGCATACACAGACAGCTTTCCCCTCTTTATTTAAGCAGGCAGCACTCTGTGATTAAGTGCAGCCCCTTCTTATCTAAATAGTCCCCAGATGTATAAAGATGCGGGAGCTTTCTGCCCCTATTTGGAACTCGTTCTGGCACCCATCTTCTCAAAACCTACAAAAAGCTTTACTGGGCCTTTGCTGACAGAAATTCCTACCTCCGGCTACCCCTGTAAATCAGCCCTGCTTGCCAGGCTGCACTCAGCTTACCAAGGAGGTAAGATTTCCCCTCCAAAGACCTCGCTTGGCTCCTCCCACAGTTTGAGTTTGAAACTGCCTGGATGTGAACAAATGGAATCTGAAAAGTCTCCATTCTGTTGTCAAATTCCTGTATTACTTTACCTGTGCAGGGAAAATGACCCATTGGTTTATTCCACTTAGTGTTGTTTGGGGGCTAGCTGGGGAAATCTGGTACAAGACGGAGTTTGGAATACTAATTAGATGTAGAGGGAAGGGAACAATGGGGTGTGTGACCATCCAAAATAAGTAGAATCTGAAGCAAAAGAAGCCAACTTGAAGGGGCTGGAGCCTAGGGCTGTGTGTAGAGTAGAGGTAGGATGCTTGTCTGGCACAAAATGAAATCCAGTGCTGGGAGGGCAGCTTAGTGGCGCCTGTCCAGCAGGCTCAAGGACCTGGCTTCAAAGATGAGCTCCCAACTTAGGGTTTACACTGGCTCCGATTCTCTGGTTTGAGTTTCTTTTCAAATCAGAGCGTGGTTCATATTTTGGGGATAGATGGGCTCTGTATCCAGCTCCCAGAGATGACATTACTACAACAGGGCAAGGACCCTGGGCAACAGGGCAAGGACTGAGCCCATTAGTGTTCCTATCTGTGTGTACTACAGATACTGGGGATCATTAGAGATGCAGAAATGCCTCCCTCAGACCTGTGAATTAGAATCTGCCTTTTAACACTAGTCCCCAAGTGACCTGTGTGTACTAATGTCTGAGAAGCACTCTTCAGAGAGTCAGATGTTCCCAGCTTTCCATACAGGAAAGAATAGAGCATTATCCCTTCACCTTCACAGTTTACTTCTATTGATAAATACCTAGTAAGAATGACACAGAATTCTGTACAGGACCAAGGCAATATGTTGGTGGGGAGGAGGTGAAGGAAGACTCCAAAACAAATCTCCTGCATCTCATCCTCAGACCACATTTGTCCATTAGAATGTTTTGCAAAGCAAGGGGTGTGAACAGGGCACTTGAGAAACCTAAGTGCAGCTGTTCCAAGCTCAAAGTCCATGGCCTTTCCTGCTCAGGAACCTCAGGGTGGGAACTGGAAACTGAGCGTGCATAGTGATCCACGCACATACACATACCCTCCTTCCCTGTGGCTGCTGTCAATGGCTGTCGATGGCTGCCGCAGCAACGCATAAATTATTGGAGCCATTGTGGGGAGCCAGCCTAACTTGGAGGATGCTGTGGACCACATCTCTTATTGCCCCTTGGAAGGGAAGCACTGTGAGGGTCACTGAAGAGGAGTGAGATATGCAACTGGAGGCCAAGCTTACTGCTCATGATGCTGGCTTTAGGGCACCCCAAACTGCAGGACAAATTCATGAGTTGGAGCTGAGGTTCCTTTGCACCAACTTTATCCTTACAGACTTTAAAATAGAAAAAAAAAAAATCTCAAAAGCAATAGGAAATGATGGATCATGGTGGTGAGGCTTCAGTGGGGATGGCAATCAACCTGTAGCCACCCTAAAACTATTTTTTCCTTCTTACTAACCACAGAGGAACTAAAAGGAAATGCCAGTATGTCACTCGGCTGGCTTGGCATCTCACTGCACACAGGCGGCTGAAGCAGCATGCATACATCTACTGGAGCATGACTTCAATGGACCCTCTAGGTTATCACAGCAGGACTCTAAAGTTGGGGTCAGTTTTGGCAGTTTTGGGTGCTTTCAGGATATTTACTCACTTCCGGAGGGGGGAAACTGCTAGTTTCTTGGGTTCAGAAGAGCTTTATGCATCAGGGAACTGTGCAGATAAAATTATCAGGATTAAATATTGAGGGAAGAATTCCTCAGGCGGGGCAGTAACTTAACAGGAAGTACCCCGGTCACCGCACAGTGCACCTCAGTGTCCAAAGGGAAGCCTGTCCAAGACTTCGCCTCCAGGGCTGGAGCTAGGGGTCAGCTGGGAAGCCCTCGCTGTGTCCCATCTTAGATTCCTCATCTATAATGCATGAAGACATGGTCTCCTTGGAGGTTTCATACAAGTCCAAGCTCCAGACACGAACAAGTTGTCATGTTCCAGCTGCTAATTTGAACCTTGAGTTGGGCCAGAGGGGAAAGAGCATCTGAAACCAGAAACGTGGAAAGAGATCTTGGGCCAAGCTGAAAACCGCATTCTTATAGTGCAAGCATTTAACCTTCTCTCTAATCTGAAGCGCACTCACTGGGAGAAACACTTGGGGCAGCTCTTCACAGAGCAGATGGTAAACAGAGAGTAAGGTCAGGAAGCCTGGGGTCCTCCTGGGTCTCCCCACCCTGCCACCCAAGCACCATCTGAACACTGCTTGGCAGGAGCTGGAAGACACCACCCAAACAACCCGGGTGGGGTGAGGTATTTGGTGGATGAGGATGGTGGTGCATGGCGGGTGGGGGCAGCAAGTCACAACTCACACTATCATTGATCAACCGAGTGATTTTAGTCAAGTGAATACATGGCAGGAAAAGCATGGAAATAAAATGAACACATATGGGAATTACTATTAACATAAGTGATAACATCAAAACATCTGGTAAAATGCAGTTAAAAAAACAACACAAATGAAATGGAATGTAAAACATTTTCACAGTATCCAAAGCTTTTGTACAAGACTGAGACTCTACAAAAAGAGTGAGTTACTACACGAAAGAACCAGAGGAAACGAGAATTCCATCCACGTCCCGTGTATCTGCTGGTGACAGGTCAGCCTGTCATTCCAGGGACATCTCCCGGGTGCGCTTCCAAGGCAGACCCAGAGACACAGCTCTGCGCGACAACACAGCAGCCAGCAACGTGCTGGGGAAAACAGATCCCACGCTTGGGAAATGGAATCTGTGTACTTTACGGATCCAAAAGGAAACTGGGGCTCCAACTGGCTTCTGCCCTGGGAAGAATGTGGTGCTGATCCACTGATACCAAGAGCCAAGTGTTACCCAGGATAGTTTAAAATAAAGTGTTCTTGGAATTTTCACCTCCCACTGTATTTTCTAAGATAACAACTAATATTCTTTAAAGATTTACTGCATTCTGCCAATGGCCTCATATAGATCTCTCTCCAGAATGATTATTTTAAAGCTTTGCAAATCCAACATTTGTACTATCAAAAATTATCAAATCATGTGTGGACCTCCTCTTTTGGAGACCAACGATGAAGCCCACGAGTCTGCACATTGGTTCTGCTGTATCCTTTGTTAAGAACAAAGGCTGGTGATAATGCAGCTTTGGCTCTTTTTATCTTGAAACTGCTGATGTGGTAGGGACAGTTGGTGTCTAAAGTCATCACTAAAGGACACAGTGAAACTTAACAGTGAGCGACTCTGAGACTGGGGTGAAACCTGCAGCTGTCATTCACATTTCCAACATGGTGGGGTCCTTGCTGAAACTGCCACTTCCCACTAAGGATTCCCCTTGAAGAGCTGCACAGCATGGCCACCAGTTCCCACACTCCAGCCGTGACCACTGCTACTCTCTGCCAGCTAAAGCCCCCTCTTCTGACCCCTGCTATGTGTACAAATGAGGGCCATGCTGCAGAATGCATTTCATCGAGATAAGCAGATATGTGTGAGCACTGAACTCTTAAATGACCATACCAAGGCCCAGCCCCATGCAGCCATGACACTGCATCTCAGTTGGATGACAGGAAAGTAGAATATATCTGATTACTAAATATATATACACATTTTCAAAATCATCTAAAATTACAGGTAAATCATAGAGGATCCCCAATACTTTATAATTGTCAGAGAGGACAAAAAAAGGTGTTAAAATGATGGGATTGCTAATTGTGAGCAGTTTATTACATCAGGATAGCTCTCAGGTAAATAAATTGGCATGGTGATTTCCAGACTGGAGTCTCTCAACCTAACAGAATCTTCCCCTATTTCTGCGTCAGTCGGGGCCATGGGGGACATCTGACACCTCACTGCCACATCTGAATTGGGTCTCAACACTTCCCCAGAGGAGCAATTGCTAAGGCCCTTGAGAAGTGATAACAAATAAAAAGCATGCTTCGATGGAAGACATTACCATAATTCTTAAGAACGCTTCTACATTGGACAAGAGGAGCAGAGCTGCCGAAGAGCACTAGCTTATTTACATTACTTCCTAAGCAGAATGGCTCTCTGGGTGTCTGTGGGCACTTGGAAAAGCCACGGAGACAGTTTACCTTCAAAACTCTCTCCCCGAGAAGGCCCCCGTGTCAATTCTCCCACTGCGGACAGGCAAGACTAAAAGGGTCAGGCAGGGAGGAAACGGAGTCTCTGATCTGTGAAGGCAAGCTAGAAGCAGCTGGCTGCTTCACAGGTAACCAGAGGTGGGAAGTGCTGTGAGACTGTCGCGGTGGTACTGGCTCGGGGCACCTGAGCACGCCTCAGAAAGGAGGTTCCACAGCCCCCCTGTGCTGCTGGATGAATCCACCTCCCCTAACAATACCCAGGGTGCTGGGAGCAGCCACAAGTGGATCAAGAGACCTTGGTCTTGGTTTGCCCTCCAAATGTCCAAAGCAGATTTCCTTTTAAATCTTGAGAAGTAAGTGATCTTTTGTCTTGCTATTGTTCTTTTTAAAATGTGAAATAACTAAGCAAATGCAATTGGAATACAAAGCTTTTCACTCAGGTTCACAACTCATGCTGGCTAGTAATTTCACTGTTTTAACTTTTTAATCTTTGTTGTTGTTGTTGTTGTTCTGTTACTATCTTTGGAAAACCACTGACCTTGCCTCCTCACCCTGCAAACGCTGCTGCCCCTCCTGCCCTCCGCACTGCTCCTCTTTCGCAGCCCTGGAGGCATCAGGAGGGAGGTCACACGCAGGCTGACAGGAGCCACCACGAGACCGCATGGGGCCTGAGGGCTCCGCGACAGTGGCCTCCTCCTGGCCTAGTCATTCTGTGATTCCATCCTGCGGACGCACTCCGCATCCCTGCACCTGTTACCTTCTGTTACCTTCTTAGACAGTGAGCGTGGGTGCATCTGTTCCTATCCAATGCAGACAGAAAGAAAAATTACTCTGAAGCTGAGAGAGATGAGACTTCCCTATAGCTAGCATGCTAGTTCCTAAGACACAGGTCAGCCATGAGCGAGTCGCATCCAACACTGAGAAGACTTGGGACTTAGTTTCTGATGCCCGGTCTCTCTTTTCTGAAAACAGGACTTCTCCAGAAACTTTCTCTTTAGTGACTGTACCTCTGGGGACAACAACTCTGCTCCTCTCTGCCCTGCGCCCACCATGTGTAGCTGCCCAAAGCCTTCCTAAATTGAGTGGCCTTCCTTACCTGACCTGACTATCCTGGGGTGGGTGTGGGAGGCTAGGAAGGGGCTGGGGTGGGGAGGCAGTGAGGACAAGGCTGCCAGGAGCAGTGTGAGTGGCCCTGGGCCCCAGGAGCGTCCACTGTCCCCCTCGGGCTCCCCCTGCCCACCCGCTGGGAATCACTTGAAGACCGACTGAAAAGTGGGGCACTCGTGGTTTTTCATCTTCTTCATGAAGTTTTTGAACTCCTTGTTCTTCTTGTCCCACTTGTGAATTGCCGTGAGCAGGTACTGGCCCTTCACCTTGCGGCCCATGATGAGGAAGTGGGGACTCAGGTTGTCCAGCTGGTGGCACGGGCAGTCGGCCCCGTTCTTCAGGAAGAGCACCAGCCTCTTCAGTTCCTTCTTCTTGATGGGTCCCAGCTTCAGGGGCTTCTTCTTCTTGGGGACAATTTTCTTGTCGCCATTCTCTTTTTTCACTTCTTTTATTTTCATCCTCAGTGCTAGAGAGGTGGGGAGAGAGAAGGAAAGAAGGAGAGAAGGGAGAGGAGAGACAGAATTTAGAACTCAGCTTGTCAGTGGAACCCGAATTGCACCTCTGGCTGAAGTGGACAGGCACAGGCATGGGGGCGGGAGCCCCTAAACAAAAAACAGAGGTCTCGCGAACGCACACACTGCTGATTCTGCCTGTGGTTCTGCAGTGTCTAACGGTGCCTCAGGAACTGCCACGATTTTCAAATTAATTTCAAAACCAAATCATATTTCTCTTTTATAAACTCAGTGATGCAGAATGTCGTACAATGCCTTAACAGGAGGGAGTGTGACCAATTTATTCTATATAATCTCAGTCTACAGACCCCAGAATTCAAATAATAGAACAACCCTGGTATTTTTCTTTCTTTCTTTTTTTTTTTAATTAAAGACAAAGGTTACTGGTTTAGTTTCCAAACATTCAAAATTCCTTGAGAGTTAGGTCCCACAGACAAGGCAGACCAAAGCTCTGTGCACACTCGAGGGAAAGCCATGTGTACCTGCAACTGCCACTCCTGGGTACAGCCTCAGCCTGGGGGAGCCCCTGGCACTGGTCCCAGACACCGGACAGCAGGGACTGCAAATGCTCTGTCAGCACTCAGCAACCAGCCACCAACAGGGGCCACTTGCGCTATTAGCTGAGGAGACCCTTGCAGAATCCAACTTCTGATAGGTCAGAATGAGTCCTCATGGCTATGTCCAGGTGATGACCGCTGTGCAGGTCTAATATGGCACAAAGGCTGCTTTGCTCATTAGGACCTTCCTAGAAAGAGAAAACCCATACATCCACCCCCTCTGCGTCCATGCTTCTCTGCAGACTCTGTGTTCACCTATTCTTTCCAATGTTGGGAGATAGAACCCAAGCCTTATGCATGCTAGGTAAATGCCCTGCCCTTGAACCATACCTCAGCCCTCAACATTATCTTTAAATTGTACACCAGATCCTTTGCTGATGGCCACACAGAGTCCACTGATCAAGGCAAATTAGTGTGGAGGAGCACAAGCAAACAGATAGCGGTGCTGCTACCACTGATCCCCCACTAAGATGGGTTCATCACAGCCATTTGTGAACTGGAAATCATTTTCCAGATTCCCATTACCAAATAATTTGTACACTATCTCTGGATGCTTCTGAATTAAAAATTACCAACCCCTCTTTTTAACAACTCAGGGCCTCCAGGCATGCTATGTGAAACAACTCTCAAACTTGAACCATGTAATAATAACTAACAATTATGGAAGCTTGTGGCATACTAGTAAGTCTGCTGAATATTTTTGTATGCATCTTCTCAATTAATTCTCATAACTCCATGAGAAATATATAATTATTTTCTCCATCTAACAGATGAGGATGAGGCTTACAGAGCTGACTTGCCCCAAGTCATTAAGTGTGTGAGTCAGCTTTCCGTTACTATAACAAATCCCTAAGGTAAATAAACTTATGAGGAAACATGTTTTATCTTGGCTCACAGTTTCTGTCCATGATTGACTGCCTGTCACTTTGGGCCTGTGGAGAGGCAGGACACCATGGTTGGAGCACATACTGGAACAGCTGGGAAGCAGAGAGGGAGAGAGGAGAGAGACAGACAGAGAAAGAGAGAGAGAAGGAGGAGCCAGGGAACAATTAACTCCTTTGAGGTCACATTCCCAGTGACCTAAATCCCTCATACTAAGCCCCACCTCCAAAAGGCTGTGTCACCTCCCAACATAGCCACATGCTGGGAATCAAGCTTTAACAATGGGTTCTTCCAGGACCCTCCCCAAGCCCTAACACCATGTCTGACTGCATTTTTAAACGTCATGACTTTCTTGCTGACTCTATGATCTGAAGCTTCTTTATATGAACCCCAAATTTAAAAGTCATTGAATGGACAAAGGAAATAAGGGGGAGAAACTCAGACTCTCTTCCCAGCTTCACCCACATTTATAAAATGACTTTGCTCATGAAGTGGTAAAGGGCCAAAAGGGACTACTCTAGCAAAGGCAGAACTACAGTACAAAGCCTTTGCCATTTGATATTTAGTTGTTCAGAAAACTACACTTCTGGCTAATCTACAAGTAAGGAGGAAGGTGAAATCCTAGGAGCAACCTTTAATGAATGTGTCAAAGTCACTAAATTAAACATTCTCCTACTGCTCTCATTTTCTGATGAAGGCAGGCCCAAACCCTGAAGTCTACCTGACTCAAGTACCATATAATACCCCACACCAAAGAAGGGCCTCACCCCAAGGGTTGCAGGAAGGTCAGAACTGAGCACCAGCATGCCCCACAAGGAGTCAGCACTGATGCGGGGAGTCCCAGCACTCGTGTGGGAGGGCATGAGCACAGCTTCCCAGTGAGCTCCATTTTTCAAGCTCTCCCCACCCTGAGGTGGCCACAGCCATGCTTGGATTATGTCTGATGGGCGCAGCCAGAGGGGCACAGCAGTGGGAACCACAGCTTGGGGTACAGGGAGGAGAAAGCTGCAGAGACCACCCTTTGCAAGCCTCAATCTGGACGGCCCTAACCAGCCCACAGTTCAGCTTCCACGGTTGCCTGACAAACCTTGAACCTAGAGGGTCAGAGAGAAGAACCTTTCCCTTTTCTAGTACATGGATTGATGAATAAGAGAAGTTCTCAGAGGGTTCAGAGAGGGATCAGCAAGGAGACACATTGCTAGGCCAAGGCAGAGTCCAACCTCCCTCTGCCTCCCCTCTGCAATGCAAAGCAAATGGGAGTGGGGAACCACTTACTATAGTGTGGATCTGGAGTAACCCCTAAGGCTCACGAGTTAAAGGCTTGATCCCTGCGTGACCACTACTGGCAGGTAATGGAACCTTTGAGAGGTCCAGCCTAGTAGGGAAGCTCTCGGCCATGGTATGCTCCAGAAGGGGACAGTGGAACTCTGGTCCCTTCCTCCTTTGAGTTCCCAAGCCATGAGGTAAACAGTTTGCTCTGCCATTCTCTCACCACACTGTGCTAATCTGCCCAAACGTATGGGCCATGTGATCAGGCACTGGAGTCTCCTAAATGGTGAGCCAAAGTCAACTTTCTCTTTGTAACTTGATTATCTCAGATATTTATGAAAGCAACAAAAATCTGACTTAGCATTATGCAAGAAAGGCTGCAGAGTTCTTCATGGGAGCAAGGGAGTGAGAGCAACTTCGCTCATCCCATGAGACCCTTCAGAAAAGCGCCCCAAAGCTACTGCCCAAAGCCAACAACATGGAACATGACATTGCTGTAGCAGCAGACAAGCACACCACCAGGAAGACTCTTGTGCAGAGAAGTGAGTCAGCATTTATGGAGTGTCCAGCGCGCAGCCTCTAAAGCTGCTATCTCTGATGGTAGGCGCTGCATATCATTTCCTGTTTGCTACCCACAATTATGATAACTAGATATAATTGTTATTTTGTTAGAATCAAGGAAAAGGAGCCAAACTAAACAATGACAGCACAAGGCGACAAGTGGTAAGAGACACAGTCAGGATTAGAAGCCATATCTAAACCCACAGCCCATGTTCTCTCCTCCCATACATCACTCAGTGAAAAGTGATACTGCTTCAGTGGAAACTATTTCACTCTTTTGATTGTGTTGCTTTTAATCACCACTCAAATCAAGAATTAGTGTTCCTTTGCCATGACCATGTAAAGGAATTTAGTTTACATGAAGGAGGGGCTGTAAGGGGGAAATGATGGAAATGTGTTATGCATTAGATCTACTTCTTGCCATTTGGCTTACTTTCTTTTCTGAGATGGGGAGAGTAGGGAAGAAGGTACATATGGTCAGAAATTGCTAACATCTTTCCATCTTTCAAGGCTTATTTTAAGGATGCAGATTACCAACTATGGCTAGATAAGGGATTATCCGTCCAAGGTTGATTCCTCCTGCCTTGTGGATGGGCATGCAGCCCTACCATGGCGTCTGGGGGCTCCTGGCCTAGGAACAGCCAGGGATGCTCCCTCTTCCACCATGCAAATTTGCCAGCACCCCAGACATCTCACCCATGTCTCTCACACAGTGGTAGAGAAGACCCGGGAGACAGCAGCGGGAACAACACAGGTCCCAGATGCTGTATGACCTCTCAGTCCCAGTTTTCCATCTGTAAAGGATAAAGCACAGTCTGGCTGCAGGCCTGGCAGACCTGCCATTCAGAAGGCCCTCGCTGGGCCGCACTGGGAAGCTACATCAGTTGTCCCCAGCCAGGTCCTCTATCCTGGGCTCCCCCTTTCCCCCCCGCTTACAGACAACACTAAGTCTGAACTACACCTCAGCTACTTGCAGCAGCTAGGCCCTCCACTAAACACAGCAAAACACAGACAAAACAGTTTCTCTTTCTGAGTAACAATTTAATGTCCCTTACGGATAAGACATTGCTCCTGCCTATGCATTACTACCAGCAAGAATTGAGAGATGCACAAACTTTGAAAACCCAAAACTTGAGGCTGCAGTTAGGGACTGTCTAGGTCTCTCTCAGTAATCTTAAAACAAATAATCCCTTATATTCGAGTAGACCATTACAGTTTTATTCCACTTTTGGTCACTCAAACCACATTTCTGCTCACAAATTATGCCTGCTTGATAGCTTCCCCATGAAGTTTGACCACATTCCTGAGGCTGAAATGAGAATCCAAAAGTCATTATGCCCACCCCAAGCCCACACTCTTGACAAAACCAACTCTTCCTCCTGACTTCCCTGGCTGTACCAATGATGCCACTGTTCCTCCAGTGCCTGAGACATAGTGCTCAGGTAGAAGGCAACATGGGCACGGGCCAAGAACCATGCAATCCATGGTCTGGAACTGCTGTAGAAAATCTGCCAGGGCTCCAATGGGAAAAGTGACAATAGGCTTGAGTTAAGAGCCCATTTGACTATAGATCATAGTCACAATGAAGGGTAAGATGTAGAGAAAAGCAAGAAAGGGAGACCCACCAAAGTACCTTCCTGGAGTCAGAGGAAAGACAATAGCCATTGTAAAAGTTATCAGAAGCA